TATCTTTGTTTATTTTTAGAACATGAGCTCTGCGATAAACGAGGGACCTCTGTTTCCACGTCTGTGTCCATGTGTTTTGTGCTGGTTCTGTGTCTCTGTCGTGTCACTGAGATGTGGCACTGACTTTGGGTTAAGAGGCACTCGTCTGGATTTGGTTGTGTTTAGTCAGTCCTGTTTTCAGTTGTCACTTCAGTTTTGTTTTTATGACACTTTTCTTTTGTGGGCTGCAGCGTTTATTCACAATCCTTTTAGTTTTAGCTTGTTTTGTTTTGTTGCCTTTTGTTATTTCCATTCTGTATTTTACCCAATTGTTTTTGTTAACAAGTGATGATTTGGAGACCTGTTTTATGTATTTCATATTATATTTCTGCTCTTTTATTGTATTTAGATTGTGTGTTTCTGCGTTTTTCTATGTACCCCCACTGGTGCTCTGTCTGTAAATGAAGTTCCTCACGGATGAATAAAGTTATTCGAATTGAATTGAATTAACTTACCTTTTACAATCCTGTCATTAAATCACTTATATATTTTTTGTTTCTCGAGCAGAGCTTTCCCCCGTAATACCTAGTGTTTGTCCCCACACGTATGTATTTCTATATTTGTATAAAATTAAAATAAACTCTGAGGAGCACAGGGACTGGCCTTCTGCTGGTGCCCAGAGTCAGGATAAACAAGGGGGCAGCAGCATTTACGATATACTGTATGCAGCTAAAATCTGGAACAGTCTTCTTGATAATGTCAGACAGGCTTCTACTCTGACAATGTTCAAATCCATATTAAAAACAGTATCTTCACTTCTTTAATGCATTGTGATTATCTATGATTTTAATGCCTTGTGTGATCTTGATTTTTTCAGCACTTTGAGTTGCCTCGAGTATGGACTGTGCAATACAAATAAACTTGCCTGCCTTTTTTTATTTTCCATCAGAACGCGTTGAGTGAGTGGCCTGAAGCAGCTCATTATAGTGAGGAGCCGCAGCAGCAGTGTAGGAGGCTCTGTTTCTCTGCACGACTCGCACTGTTAACTGCAGATAAGTCGCGCACACACACGCACAGACACACACACACACACATACAGACACATAGACACACACACACAGACGCACACACACACACACAGACACACACACACCGAGGGCATAATGGCTCCAGACTCACTGCACAACGGGAAGGAGGCGGGAGGTCTGCCGAGTGTTTATTTAACATTTTGCGGTAAAAAGAGGAAAAAAACGAAATAATAATCTACTGCATTGAGATATTTTGCCGACTGATTGCTTTGTTACAATATTATTTCCTGATAATAATAAAAAAAACCTGGAGTTATTTTCAGATCCAACCTTTGCTAATACGAGGACCATACGTGCCCCTTCTGTCTAAATGCTCCTTGTGCAAACTTGTTACGCTTGACCCACAGACTGTATATGCAGTTTATGAACGATACAAACCTCCTAGCTCAATGAAGACCTACAGGGAAATGCTCATGGACAAAGTTTTGCTCCAACTCGCTCTAGTTCCTATTGACTTACGTCGAAAAAACTCCTCTCAGTAAGTGTTTGTGCCACACTCACCCTTTTGGGCTAACACAATCTGTAGTTTAGCGCGCTCTGTGGTCTTGGTGTTTTTATTTTGGTAAAGTCCAGACATGAGCCATATAAGAATTGACCAATCAGGTGCCTGGATTCACGGGGGAAACTCCAGCATGCCTTAGCAAACCGGTCGATTGTAACAATATTCAATCAAATTAGTCTGTGATGGAAAATAATGTCATCAACTTAGGCTAATGTTATATGTCTGTTTGTTTATGGATGGCAGACAAGTCACTGGGAACAAAAGCATTATTAGTTTAATAATTTACTTATATTTGCCTCTTTTGTTGTCAAGTTCAGTCAAGGTCATTTACATAGCGCATGTCAGTGAGTGTGCTTTGTTGTATTTGAGAGTGATCCTTTTACAGGTGAAGAGAGTGCCACCCTATGAACTACACACCCTCCCCATATCCAAGGCTGTGTCTGTGAGTGAGCGAGAGAGGGATCTCAACATGCAGCCTAGTGCCAGTGTTTCGGCTACACAAACTCGCCAAACTGATCTGACAAACAAGCCCAATTTTTATCCTCGTGCCCAAACTGCCAAAAAGGATTACACAGCCGCCCAATGGGTGGAAAACCGCCCCATCTGGCAACCCTGTGGGTTAGCATATTCTATCTGTATACCGTCCTGGTTTGAAACTTGTGTGGACTTTCTGTGAAGAGTTTGCATGTTTCTCCTCATGTCTGGGTGGGTTTCCTCTCATTTACAACAGCTAGTCATTATTCAAAATAATTGCATTCACACAATCTACAACGTTTTCTTTTCCCG